ATAGTACAGGGCTCAAAACGTTTCCCTGAGGAACCCCCCGGTATAGACCATTCCATGTAGCGCTCTCTGGGCGGCACCATTTTGTTAGACCGCAGCGCCCTCTCCACACATCCGGGAAGTTCAGCGGGTTCGGCGGGGTAAAACGAGAGAGAGGGCACGCGCCCGACTCCGCTAGCATACGACAAACCGGGAGGTTGCCGTTCTCCATCTTTGGGCTGTATCGGCGGGCAGTACGGAACATCGAACTCTCGCTCGTGGCTGCCGTTGTGAAGTGGTTCGCGTTCTTAGAATAGTTGTGGCTACTCCAAAATCAGCCTATAGCTCTCTGTTGTTCTGTTTCGCTAAATGATCAACTAGCATATTGCCGCGCGCCAAGTAGGCAGCGCCAAGTAGGCAGCGCGGCCGTAGCCTAACGGTTATCGCGCTTTCCTCCCACGCGAATGGCCAGGGTTCGATTCCTGGCCGCGGCTACGCATTTTTGTTTACACTGTAATGTGATGTTCTAGTAAATTCGAGAACCGTCTAGCTGATTCGAGGTTGGAATGTTCTACGCGTCGAACCTTCTACATCGAATGCTCCAGAAGCCAATGCGTGTACAAAAGCGGCTCCGCCTGGCAAGCAGGAGTCAGTTTCGCCCCAGCGCTCGACTCTGCTGTCTCGCCGACTTCGACGCCCGCGACGCTCTGTTATTATCTTTTGTACCCTTTTATTTTTGGCACAAGTTCGCCACATTAAACGTTTGTTTCTTCCTTTTTATTTCCTGTTTTTTTGGTCACCACCCGTGACAATATCCTTTTTCCGTTACTTAAATAACAGTTGAGTCAGCCGGCAGTACTACCCTCAACTACTGCGTGTATTGCGGTAGGAGAGCACGTTTTATTTATTATTTCAGACTTCCACTCATGGTCGCTAAAGGCCTACACCAGTACGAACTTTATGTAGTAAAAAAGGTTCAGCAACCGGATTTACTTTTCGCCAAAGAGACCGGCCAATCTGACACAGTTTTCCCTATTTTTTTTTATTTGCACGCAGGTAACAGCGCAATTGCACCCTGTGAGTCTTTTTATCTAGCATAGTATTACACGACAACTGGCACACCAAAATCTGCGCATCTGCGCTTGAAATTTCCAAAATGACGCGATTTTAAACATAGTTTGCACGCCAGCCGGGCGCTAGCTACAGCCCACTCGGCGGAGTGGACGACGTGCGGGGTGAGAGGGGGAGTGCATTTTTTTTTCTTTTACCCTCTCTGCTATCACCCTAATTGAACGGTCTATACGTAGTGAACGGGTGTATCACCCTCTTGCGTCGTCATGAAAATTGAGCGTCTTGTGAGGTAACTCTTTATCCATGCCCCCTACACCAACCTCTAAAAGTGCTTGGAGGACAGCCTCATGTGTGACACGATCGAACCTCCCTTCACGTCAAAAAAAGCCGCAACTGTGACTTTGTGCTTTGCTCTTTCTTCTTCCACCTAAGTAACAAGGTCGATAACAGAGTCTATTAAGCTCCGACCTTTACGGAAACCATGGATTATTTTCGTAAACGTATTTCTTTGCTCAAGATATCATTCTAAGCGCCTATTGATCATTTTTTCCATCAGTTTTCCTACGCAACTTGCAAGTGCGACAGGACGATACGATGAGAGAAGCAGTGGTGACTTTCCAGGTTTTAGCAAAAGAACAATTCTTGCTTTTTTCCACGAGTCAGGTCCATGATTGGTTAAACAAATTTAGCAGCCAATTTTTAACATCGGCGGCCATATGGGTTAAAAACGAATATCTGATGCCATCCGGACCAGGGCACGAGTTAAGTTTTAAAGACGCAAGCGCAGCGTCAAGTTCCCTTAAGGTAAACAGATCGTCAAGACAAATATCAAACTTAGCGGGCGCGCCACCTTTATATAGTCAAGTGACCCTATACAGTCGAGTATTTGCTGGTTGGGTTGCGTTTGCTGTGAGCAAAACGCGGAATTCATTCGCTAAGTTTTCTGAGGGCACTTCATTGATAATGAAAGTGCCCGAAATGGGTGATATTGTTGGGGAGGTGTTTTAAGTCCCTTCGATATTTTCCATATTATACTGAGTGGTTTTCGAGGATCAATGTCTGCACAAAATCCTCGGTATTGGCGTTGGCCAAGTCTATCTAAGTGACGACTTATTTTTTTCTGTAGTCTTCTTGCCGCTCGAAGATCCTCCTTAAGTTTAGTTCGTCTAGCGCGCCGTTCTGCCTGCCGTCGTATTGCACGGAGATGTTCGTACTCGGCGTCGATCACTGTTCAATGAGCTGGAAGTTTGTAACTGTGCAACGATGATTTTGCAGAAGACATGATTGCACTCTCACATTCGTGGAGGTTATTAATTGTTTTGTTTTTTTATTGCCTCTTCAAAATCCAACCAATTCACTCGCTGGATTAGGTCGCCTTTTTGTTTCTTGACAAACTCGTGAATTATTGTGTAGGTTGGGATATGATCACTCCCGCGCGTTTGTACATCTGTGAACCAGGCAACAGATGATGCCAAGCTCGATGACACGAATGTCAAGTCAAGGCAACTGCTATCACTTGTCCCATGTAGGTATGTGGGACTTCCATCATTCAGGATAAATAAGTTATGGACGTCAGCTATATCAGTAAGGCATCTCCCGCGAGGAGTCGTTCGAACACTACCCCATAGATGGTGATGCGCATTAAAATCTCCAGTTATAATGTGAGGTGTGGGTACCGTGTTTAGAATGTTTTCTAGGCGTTGTCTCTCAAATTTCGATTTAGGTGGTATATACGATGCAATTATTGTGAACGAGAGCTTATCGTCAGAGATTGAAGCACACGCGTACTCATTGTCCTCGTGAGGTGGAATGACATGTGGCACGTACGTGAGGTCCCGACGGATGAATAGCGTGACTCGGTTTTCCCCAGCAGTACGCGATGAATAAAATTTTTTGTAACCTGACAGTTTTAGATTTTGGGGTAACTTTGATTCACATATCACTATGATGGGATATTTATACTTATGTGCCAACTGACGGAAGTTTATTTATTTATTTATTTCAAAATACTGCCAATCCCGGAAGGAATTATTGCAGGCATTGGTACATAATAAAAAGATACATGTGAGGCACTTAACAACGAATGAACAACACTTCTCGTCATTCAAAACATCCAATAGTTACGAAAAAAGTCCATCTTCGACTGCATTGATAAATGATTCAACAGTGCCGTGACTGAACATGTGTGGATCAAGGCTATTCCAGACCCTAATGGCAGAGGGAAAAATGAGTGTTTAAAAGTGTTATTATGAAACGAATAGTCAACAAGTGTATGGCTGTGCTTGTGTCTAGTCGGTCTTGTGTTAGACAATTGAACGTACTTGGATGAGTCAATCTTAAAGGCGCCTTGTAAAAGAAGATAGAGAAATTTTAGACGATTTAATGTTGCGCGGTCAGTAATGGTCTGTAAACCTGCTCTTTTCAGAAGCTCTGTGGGGGAGTCAAAACGACCATACTTATGATAAACAAACCTAATTGCCTTTCTCTGAACGCTTTCAAGTGTGTTTATGTTTATATTCGTGTGAGGGAACCAAGCAATATTTGCGTATTCAAGCACTGGACGTATAAGGGTTTTATATGCTAGGAGTTTTGTTTCACAAGACGAACATTTTAAGGTTCTCTTCAGAAGGAATAATTTTGTGAGAGCTTTATTAAATACATATTTAACGTGTGCGTTCCAGTTAAGATCAGATGTTATCAAGACTCCTAGGTACTTATACTCGGTGACTCTATGCAAGGGTTCATCTTCAAGGTTATATTGAAACTGGGAGACATTCTTTTTCTTTCTCGTGAAACTCATGGAGACTGTTTTTTCTTTGTTAATCACCATTTGCCAGTCGTCGCACCAGTCGGAAATCTTTTTAAGAGATTTGTTTAGTAGGATGTGATCGTCTTGGTTCTTAATTTCTTGATATATGATACAATCGTCAGCGAATAATCTTATGTTAACATCAATGCCATCGGCTATGTCATTTATGAAAAGAAGAAATAAAAATGGAGCTAAAACGGAACCTTGTGGGACGCCGGATACTACAGCAACTGGTCGCGTACTTTGTCCCTCGTGATAAACAAATTGGAAACGATTTTTTAAGTAGTTTTCAATCCATGCAATTATCGGTCCTTCGCCCATAACATGTTTAAGTTTTATTATCAGTTTGTCGTGGGAAACGCGATCAAACGCTTTAGAGAGATCCAAGAACACTGCATCTACCTGACTTCTGTTGTTTATGCCCATCGTGAAATCTTGAAGAATCTCAATTAGCTGTGTAACGGTCGATAGTCCACTTCTAAAACCATGCTGATGTGGGAATAAGATATTGTTATTTTCTACAAATGATGTCATGACTTTGAGAATAATATGCTCGAGAAGTTTGCAGCAGGTGCAAGTAAGTGATACGGGCCTAAAATTTGAGGCTAGAGTCTTATCGCCAGATTTATGTATAGGGATTACTTTCGCAACTTTCCATTCGGCGGGTACCGAAGAAAGGAAGAGAGACTTGTTAAAAATTAACACTAAATACTTGCTAACCCATTCGGCGTATCTTTTAAGAAACATATTCGGAATTTCGTCAGGACCGTTACCTTTTTTGGTGTCTAAATTGAGTAAAAGTGCAAATATGCCTGGTTCCGTAACTATTAGGCTTCCAAGTTCTTCAGCAGTGTTGCATTGTGGTAAAGTTAAACCGTCATTACCATCATCAGCTGTAAATACCGACTTAAAGTAATTGTTAAATTCATCTGCCATTTTTTGTTTCTCTATGGAGCTCATACAATTCATTTGAGACTTTTTTGGGTTAACGTGGTTCCAAAATTTCCGAGGTGACGTTTTCATGAACTCGTGGAGGGTCACGTTATAGTACTTATGTTTGGCTTCTTTAATTTTTAATTTAAGAAGTTTAGAGTGCTCTGAAATCTTTACTTTGTAGTCGGTGTTATCCTGGATGGAGTGTATTTTAGATGACTTCCTTAGCCGCTTGAGTTTGCGTTTCAGGTCGATAATTTCTCGCGTGATCCATGGGTTGTGCTTTCTTGTTATTTTTTGTTTTTTTGGGATGAACTGTGTAACATAGTGCGTGATGATTGATTTAAACTCGTTCCATATGTCGTCAATACTGACATCTATCTCGTCACAAAGTTCACGGAAATCATAAAATCTATGAGCAAGGTACGTTAATATACACGCGTCATCGGCACTGTTGAAATCAAGTACAGTTTTGATGGTACCATATGAGAACCTAGATGTTTGTATAGGTATGGTGCATATAACTGCTTTATGGTCGGATATGCCCGTTACTACTTCAACATCGACTTGGCTCTGGGGGAAGTGGTCACTAAGAAATACAAGGTCAAGCAGACGGCTGGACGTTCCCTGCACCCGTGTTGGCTTTCTGACGATTTGTGACAGATTAAACGCAAATAAAATGTCTAATATTGCATCAGAGGTAACAGTGCCAAGTTGCAGCGAACCCCAGTTTACCTCAGGTATATTAAAATCGCCAGCCATAATAATCCTTTGATTTTTAATGTGTTGTTGCATGTAATCATATAAGTTGTACAGACACTTGTGGTCGGAGTTTGGAGGCCGATAAACGACACCTACAACAACAGAATAATAATCGAATGACACTTTGCACCATAAAGATTCAACATCTTTCACATCAGGCATATGTTCGTAGGGGATACCCCGTTTTAGAAGTATTGCTACTCCGCCACCTCTAGTCGTTCTGTCTTTACTCAGAATGATGTAATTTGGTGGGACAATTTCGCTATCAAGTATTAAGGGATGTAACCACGTTTCTGTGATTGTAACTATGTGTGGATTAAATTCTAAGAGAAAGGACTTCAATGAATATGCTTTATTTTGAAGACTCCTTGCATTTATATTTACGACTCTAAGGTTAGATGGCAGAATGTGGCTTTCGGTTAGTTTTCGTCGGGAACATCGTTTTTTTTCCACGGGAATTATGTCTTCTTTTGTCTCATCCCACGCATAATTATGTCTTCTTTTGTCTCAACCCCCTTGCATTCCATTGAAATATTGTTGCTGTCTTATATATATCTTCCATTACGTGGGACCTTGTTTTCTATTGATTTAAAGCCAATTTTACGATAGTAAATGTTCCAAAGCAAGAAAAGCCTTGACTTCAGGGAGCTTGTTGGCATCTGGTGACGTTTACAGGATGGCTTTAAGAGCTACAAAAACATTGGGATCAGAAGTTTGGTTATATCACCTTGTTGATGCGATTCAAATCGTGTCAGATGTGAAGCTTGAGGAGCCTTTGGTGGCCTGTAGTTTTTAGATGGTTGAATATTGCCTGTTGTACGTCGTGCTGTCGAGCTTGGTGCTGTTAGAGACGGTCCTTGTTATGGTTCGTTGGGGGCGTTTTCTTGAGTCTCCTTGATGATACGCGGCTTGAGCATTTCAGTTGGACGTTTCAGAACGCTGGAGTATCTGGTCAGCTGTGCCTTGTCTCGTTGAGATTGAGGCGGCTCAGGTACCCGAACAACCTCAGGGTTTGGTGACGGTGCACGGCGTGTTGCATGTCTACCGTTCAGCATATTTGAACGAAATGCTGCAGAAGCTGCTTGTTTCCGTGAACACCCTGAGAATGTCACTGGATGATTTCCGCCACAATTAGCGCATTTCGTTTCGCTCATGTTGGTGCAGTCCTTGTAATGATGTGGCCCAGCACATACCTTGCAGCGATGAGGACCCCTACAGTACTTCGCAACATGGCCGTATTTTTGGCATTTGAAGCACTGCACAGGTGATCCGAAGTATTCCTCGACTGGATGGCTGGTGAATTCAAGAAACACTCGTTGTGGCATTGGCCGATCTGTGCGAAAGACGATTAAGACACTTTCAGACGGTTGCTCTTTGATGCTTCTGTCCTCCTTCCGATAATATGCAATTTTGTGTTGAACGGATGTTACGCCGTTGTCAAGTAGATACTCCAGCAGTGCAGAGTTGGAGTATTCAAAAGGAACGTTCTTGATTTTCCCCAGATTCTTTGAATACATCTCCGGCATGTGGGCGGTGACTTTTACGCTGCCTATGGAGTGCAGAGCCAGTAACTTGTTTGCCGAGCAAAGTGATGCTAGGTGTACTGAGAGGCTACCGTCCTTGTTAATTCTGTGCTATGGAATCTTCTCCTGTGTTACCGCAAGAATGTCGTTTGCTATTGAGTTGGGGTTTACTTTCCAAAATGACTTGATTCCAGTAGGTTTCAAGATCACTGGGATGCCAGAGGGTCTGTTCTTTCGTCTTCGTCGTCGCCGTCCTCGAGCGACTGTGATGATGACTCGTCATTCATTGCAGGTGTCCCTTCTGCGTGTACTTGTTCGTGGGCTGGGGTCATGATGTTGGCATTGTTAGGGTGGTCGTTTGCAGTCGAGTGGTCCATTGTATTGTTGTTCCTTGGCTGGTACCAAGGCTGTTACCGGGACCTGGTAGTCGATTGCCGTGGTGACCGGGACCTGTCAGCCGGTGACCGCATTTTGCAGCTCACGGCGGAGCGCCGTTTATCATTCTCGGCCAGCGTGGCGTCGGAATGCAGTGTCACCAATAGCGACGGTTTGAGATGCGGCGGGTCAAAATAAGAAATAATATGATCGCTTACTAGAGGAGCCAGCCAACAAATCGGGCTTCCTATTCCAGGCACTTCTTCTTCCTTCCTATCCCAAGCGTAGAACATCGAGCGGAAGGGATATTAGCGCAAAACAATTGCACGACAAACGGTGCACGCAACTTAGTCGTCGTCGTCTGCTTCACAAGCGGAGCAAAAAAGACAACGAAAACGCTGTTGTGTGTAGCCACGTCACTTTCGGCAACTCTCTCCTCATCTACATATCTCCCTCCTCTTCGGTATACACATCGTTCACATCTCGCAGCCATGATCTTCCGTGCTCATGTTTTGGTATCAAGCAGTTGAGTTTTTTTTAAACATACGTGAGTCGGTACCAAAATATTGATTGGGTAATTTCCGGACACCATAGTAAGTCGTTTAAAAAAAAAAGACGATTTATTGGAGGGTGTCTATTCCTTTAAACACAAAGCCACTGACAACCCCATCATCGTTACTTTTTTTTATTGCAAACGAGTGAAAATGAATCCGTATGATCGCCTTAAAGATATCAAGCTTGAAAACTTCGTATTTGCAGAGAAAATAAAATATTCAGAAAGCTTTATTTAAAGCACCCGCTTTAATCTATGACGTAGTTAGCAAAATGGTGCACTCTTTCCCTTTTGAACGACTTCAAACAGAAAGCAAATACTTTACTAGGGGAAATACATTCCACTCTGCTCATTTGCATTATACAGAACGCCTACAGCGCCGAATCCCGCCCTGACGGAGGGGAGGTCCGCGTCAGTCGACGCGCATGTGCATCAGGATGTTAGCGGCGGCCGCGGCGGTGTCGTCTCCGGACTCCTCCGCGCCGCGCCGTCTTTTTTTTTTTTTTATGTGTCAAATAAGCTATCATTATTATCAGTGGCAGACATTTCGCGACTACTCGCTATGCTACGCCGGCGGTCGGTGCGCCAGTGCAAGCCAGTGTCTCGAGGTGTCAAACAACGTCAAATGTGTTGCGTGGTGTTTTCTTTTGATACTTTTTTCGAAACGATGCACACGATATTGTCACGAATTACAATTGATGAGGCGATGGTAACTGAAGAAACTAAACGTTTAATGGGGCGAACTTGTGCCCAAAACAAAAAGGGAACAGACAAAAACAGCAGAGCGTCGCGGGCGTCGATGTCGACGAAACCGCAGGATCGAGCGCTGGGGCGAGACTGGCTCCGGCATGCCACGCGGAGCCCCTTTTGTACACGCGTGGGCTTCTGGAACATTCGGCCTAGAACGTTCAGCTCGTAGAACGTTCGTAACTGGATTGAACGAGAAGGTTCTCGAACTTACGGGAACGCCATGTAGAAAGAATAAATAAAAGAAGATTCTGCTCCCTGGAATCGAACCCGGATCCTTCGCGCGACAGTCAAAATTTGGCTTTTTGAAACAAAGTATAAAAAAAGAAATAAAAAAAAACAAAATGAACTCCTTAATTGAGCAAGTGTGTTTCCATAGACTTCGGCCTTACCCCCCCCCCCCCCCCCCCCACCTCCCCCTTTTCCATCTCTGTGACGTCACGGCGCGGTGGTGGCGCGTCGGTCGCACTTCCGGTCTGGGGCTGTGGGCAGAAGTCCCCATGCCAGACGTGTATTCCTGCGTTGTTTCGAAGGGAACCAGCCAAAAACTTGCCTTCTCGTCAAAACGCCGGGACTGGGGCCATACCAAAAGGATCGAGAAAGGTTTGAAGGTCAGTTTTCACGTACTCGGTTCGTCCGAGAATCTGGATATGTGCCGTGAAAAGGGAAAAATAGACGCCCTCGGACAACGATTGCTTGGGCGGAAAGCACTTTGGGTTGAATTCACGGATACTTATGGTCATCAGATTTATTTGTTTTGTTCCAACATGAACGCCAGAAAACCATCAAGTTGTGCGGACCACCTGCGGACTACGTTCAGTGCGTCAAGTTCAAACGGCCGCCTGATCGTTCGAACTGTCGTCTGCTCTTTCGAACGTTTCTGCTTGTCGTCTGCTCTCTTAGACGACGCCGGCCCATAGACCAAATATGGGCCCGGTACTTGCTATAAGAAGTAAGTGCAGGCCTCAAAAGACTTAGGTTTGAAGGTTTGTAAGCAGGCTCGATGTAAAAAGTAAATACAAGGAGATGTTGATCATTGTTTCCAGTGGCCATCAGTGACTTGCTATGCCTAATTGACTTGGTCCGTTTCTGCTTGCGATTTGCAGTATCGATGTTGACCATCTCAACTACGGTTCACGCTTTTGCAGCCCGAGCGGCGTCGCGACTGAAAACTGCGAGCGAAATCTCATCATGCGAATCAGGTTTTAGCGTACATACCGCGGCGTCCACGCGGAATGAATCGCCACATGTCACATTATTCACGCGAAGTTTCGCGGTGTAGCGAGCCTCGGTAATTTCGCTGGCGCTGCTCAAGTAGTCAGACATCGCCAGGAAGACGTAGAATCAACAATTCGAACGCGAAAAAGAGCAAGGAGACTCACACCGACGCCAACAACATCGCATTTCAATGGTTTGTTTATGTGCGACGGCGCGCTTTTTGCCCACACCCCCATCGCGCATGCGCGGCGCCGGTGGCGTCCACTAGGGGCGCTCCGGTTTGTTTGTAAACATGAGTTGGTGTATATTCATCCGATTTTCACACCTTTACGCATTGCCATCTGTACATATTCACGACTGTTCAACCTTGTATTGTGCGACGTCGCAGACCTCTACGGTATGGGTCTATACACGTTTGCAAGAAAGCCTCCTGTGCGCTGCCATTTTGAGCGATGCTGGCGCCCCGTACCGTTTCCGCCATTCTGGAGTGCGCCAGGGGCACGTCACTGGGGTGCGCAATGACAAGATGGTGCCGTTTGCTGCATCGCCGATGGCTTACGTTAGCGGCACACTTACTGTCTCGGAACGCAGGAGGAGGTATCCACACATAATCGTAGCGTCACATATTGTAGGACGGGGCATCTTTAAGGGTTGGAGCTGACTTTATAACGATCGCAGCCTCTGTTCCTGCATGTTGTGGAAGCCAGAGCTGCCGCGAGCGCAGCCATCGTTGATGCAAAGGCCATGCGACTTTTGGCGCATTCTGAAGAGAGCGCCTTGAGACTTTAGATCTTTTTGAAAATTTTCGGTTTGTTACCGCTTTAGGCATTTTATTTAATTGACCTTGCTATTTCGCTGTCGAAGACGACACGTGTAGGTTTTATAATTATTTTTTTTTAATTTCTTTCTGCGCTCAGTGGTGTACGCTTCGGCGAGAGACGCTTGGCAACATTGTACGACAACCAGCGAACGTCCTGGCTGGAGAGTAGGTCCGCCTCACCTTGGCGCGCGGTTCGAGGTTAAGCCGGGATCCCACTTGCAAAGGTGTATAGACCGATTTCACTAACCAGCGTGTGTTGCAAGACTCTTGAACATATAATTTACGCTAACATATTTCATCACTCGCAAGCAAATAATTTTTTTTTGTTCAGTTTCAACATGGCTTTAGGGCAGGCTTGTCTTGCGTCCCTGAGTTAGTCGAATATTCGTATGATGTGTTTTCTTCTTTTGATTCTGGGAAGCAGGTTGATTGTATACTGTTAGACTTTTGTAAGGCTTTTGATACCGTGCCACACGTGTTATTGCTTTTAAAACTCTCATCTTTAGGTTTACCTGTTTCTGTCTTTGGTTGGATAGCAGACTATCTTACCGGTCGCTCCCAAAAAGTAGTCATTAATGGCTTAGAATCTTACTTTGCTTCTGTAACGTCGGGTGTTCCCCAAGGATCTGTGCTTGGTCCGCTTCAGTTTTTAGCCTATATAAAGGATATAGGCTTCGGAACTACCTCCAAAATAAGGTTATATGCAGATGATTGTGTGTTATACAGGGATATAAATAACCAGGACGATGCTGCCACTTTACAAACTGATCTTGATCAAATACTCACATGCTGCAACAAATGGAAAATGAAACTGAATTTTGCAAAGTGTAATTGTATCCGCTTTAGCAGAAAGCGTCTAAACATAGCGACTAATTACTATCTAGATGCAAATCAGATTACCTTGGCGAAGGATGTGAAGTATTGGGATGTTATTTTTTCATCTAACCTAACGTGGAGTAGTCATGTTGAATTTATAACGATGAAAGCAGGACGGGTACTTAACTTTATAATGAGAAACTTTAATCACGCACCTCGTGACGTCAAAGAAACACTATACATTTCTAACGTACGTTCCGTCTTAGAATATGCGGCTGTAGTATGGGATTCCGACACTAAAACCTTAATTAATTAACTTGAGACCATTCAAAATCGCTCTGTCCGTTTTGTTACTAACTCTTATCATTCTCAAACCAGTGTCGCTGCATTAAAAGATCATTGTCATGGGACTCGCTCGAACTTCGCCGGAGGTTATCGTGGTACTCTTTTCTGAATAAAGTGGTTCGTGAACTT